TCAAAAGTTGCTGGCACAACTCTGAAGTTTAGCTGATGGGAAATGATTTTAATTACCTTAAGAGGAAATGACTGCTTTGCCGAGCTGTGGGATGCAGCTGCCTGCCTGCCCTGGAGCTGCTGTGTGGGGCTGGGGTCCAGCCCTGCTTCACAGCCTGGGGTGGGGGAACTTGCTCTCACATTGTCTGGGGTGGAGCTGATATTGTTTTTCCCAGCCAAGGCGAGCTTGGTGTGGCTGATGGGCCCTTCCTTCCCTTTTCTGTTGGGGCCCTGAAAAGAGAGGGTTGTTTGTTTTTTTTTCCTCTCTTTGAGTCTGCTTCTCTTTTCCAGCATTTCTTTTGCATGAGGATTGTCTGAGTGTGGCAGTGCGGGCATGCTCATGGCTCAGTGGATGGATAGCAGTGCCCAGCTCTCAGCCAGGGTGATAGAAATGTTCTTTTTGGCTCTGTTCGGGGAGAGCCTTTTTCCAACTGCTATCTGTTTTTGCTTTCATTTTCACTAAACTAAATGTCTGAGGTTGATGCCTGGCTTAAAGCATACAGGTGGATTTTGCTTGGTTTCCCAGCGAAGCTCTCTGGAGGGTGATTCTGGATGGCTGGATCACTCTTCAGGCCTGTCCAAGAGACTAGTTTACCTCCTTCCTATTTCCTTCTCCCAGGGCCACACTGCCTTCCTGAAGAATAGAGTTCCCCCAGTCTGTCCTGCCTGAGTCCCCCAGGGCTGCCCTTTGTGGCAGCAGCCCTGTTTTGTATCCCTGTTCCCACCTTCTTGGATGGAGTGTGGTGTCATCCCGTTTGCAGCCCCTGTAGGGGATGCACAAGTACACTTCTGGCCCTGCAAGGCATTGCTTCCTGAGTTTTCCCAACACTTCTAGTATTGGGGAAGTGTTCCTTGGGGCCTCCCTACATCACTCCCTTTGGTCTAGGGAGGCTATAGCAATCTCTAGATTTATTATATATCAGGCTGAGTGGATTCTGGGCTACTTGTGTGAGGGTCCTCTCATTTTGGCTCAGCAGGATGAGCACCACAAGGGCTGTGTGCTAGCAGCCTCAGATGGCAGGAGGTTTAGGTGTTGTGGCAGGCATGGCCATTGGGAAGTCGGGATGGGGCAGTCACTGGCACTGTGGGACAGGCTCTTGGAGCTCCAGCACTGAGCTGCCTCTGCTTTTTGCAAGCCTCACTTTGTGCTTTGTGTGAGAAGCTGCTTCCAGTTTGTGATGGTCCCTGGCTTTTCCTGTGCACCTTCCCTGTGAGCAGAAATGCTTCTGAGGGTCAGAGGTGAGGGGCAGAGGTGGGTTGGCTTTTTTTTTGGTGTATCTTTCTCTTACCCTCCCACTGCCAGCTAAAGCCTCCTTTTACAAACTCTGAAATGTTTTGATGTGATGCTGTGCTTTCGTGTTCTTTTGCAAGCTTCCTGCAATTGCTTATTTATGTTTTTGAGATTTTCTTTTGCTAAAAATATGCAGTGGAGGCTCATGAAGCTGCTCTGTTGAAGCTTTGTGATGCTGAACCCAACAGAATTTCCCTACAGATGCTGAGCTGCATGGGTGACCAGAGTTGTGAGTCCACACAGCGCTGTCACGCCTGTCTGTTCTTAGAAGGGACTCTATATACACTGACTCCTGTGTCAGGCAGTCAGCTTGAACAGAATCAGAAAAGATTCAGATGGAGTGAATCGAGCTGGAAAGTTTACCCAGTAAACATAGGTAGGGACACCATTTTGACAGGTGGGACAGCACTTGCAGCAGACTTTGCATGTTTTCTTGGCATTGCAGATTACATCCTGAGTCAGCATCCCTGGGAAACAACAGCCCTAGGGCTGCCTGCTATCCAGGTAGTCAGATTTCAGTGGAAATGATTTAAAATTAGTAGTTGGAACTGTGACTCTGTTAACCAGTTGGAAAGCCTGTGCATTTGTGGATTTGGTTTTGGCCTTGTCCTGCTTGGGAAGTGAAATGGAAGTGTCAGTTTGCAGTGGGTGGTATGTTGCTGCTGCTTTGTGTCAGCCACATGACTTTATGAAGTCGAGTTTGTTTTAGTCAGTCTGTATTTCAAAACAGCATATTCAGCTTTTTTTCTGGTTTTGTATTTGGTGAATGTATTAACTGAGTGATTTGTGTCCAGCCTGTCTCAGAGGTGCCTGCCTTGCCACACATGGATGGCACTGGTGCCTGGGGACTTCTCACTGACCTAGGTGTTGGCTGCATCCCTTAGGGCAGGATTTGTGAGAAGGTGTGCTGCCCTTAAAACTGATTAATGAAGCGGGAGGTTGGAGCAGTAGAGATCGTTTCTCACCAATGCCTTTCAAGACTATGAAACTGTTAAATCTCTGCCTTCTGCAGCTGTTTTTTACAATGAATATGCTTTCTGCTCCCATCTTTTCCTTGCCAATGTTCCAGTCTCTGTAAGGCAAGCAAGAGTGAGTGCTGGCAGGATGAGTGGTCTATGTTTTGCCTTGGGGGGCTGCTGGATGCCAGCCAGTAAAATGCTGTTTGCAGTTCCAAATGCTTGTGGCTGTCCTTGCCCAGTTGGAGCTCACAAGTCACCAGTGGGAGATTTCCTCTGTAAGTTCACCTAAATGGCAGACTTTCATTTCCTCCTGCCTTACTCTGAGTCGGTCCAAGACATTAAAAGAACCTTTGTTTGTTAAACCAGAAAGCATTCTCCAGTCTGATGGGGCTCACAGTTGCTTCTTGGGAGCAGCAACTGGGAGAAGAGTCCAGTAACTGGGAACACAGAGCCCAGCTTGTCCCAACAGGAACGGGCTTGTTTGATGGGACAGCAGCCACACCCAGTGCCTGGCAGTGGACTAGGCTGGCAGGGCCCTGTGAGGGGATGTGCTGCTTCTGCCCCTCTGCTTCCTGCAGCATCCCAGCGGGTCCTGCTGCTGGCATCCAGGGGCAAGAAGGATGAGAAAATAAAGTTCCTGGGCACAGATGCCCAACAAAATCCCATTTGCTGGCCGTCAGAAGTTAGGTGAACCAGTGCAATGCCCTCTGCTGTTTTAAAATCACAAAAGTGTAGCATTAGCACTAGCATCCTAGCTCTGAGTGCTAGTCTCCTAATGGAGGTGACACTTGTGGGCACAGGGACGGCTGGGGGAAGTGGGTAGGGGCCAGAGGCTGTTTTGGAAAAATGCTCCCCACCGTGGTGTGGAAGCAGCCCCCAAATTCAGCAGAAGTACGAAATGTACTGTCTCCCCTACCTGCCACCTCTGGCCTCATTGATATGATGCCTGTCCCACAGGCACGAGGATGGCTGTGCCTGGCCCCTGATCCTGTCACCACTGAGCCCCAGTCCCAGTCATTCCACTGCATGTTCCTTCCTGCCCCAGTTCTTCCAATTTTTGCCTCTTCCTCCTGCTGCAGAGCACCTTCTGAGCTCTCCCTGTAAGCCACATTTAGACTTCAGAGCAGAGAGGCTTCAGCCCTGGCCCTGCAGCTGCAGGGCAGCATCCACAGGGCCCAGCTTGTACCAGGGGGCAGAGAGGGTGCAGAACTGGGCACAGGGGTCAGCTGTGCAGCTGAGAATTGCTGGGAGTGTGGGCAGACTGATCCCAGTGCCCCTGGACTCTGAGAAATCACTGCCTTCTCCTTGTGTGAGAGGGAAACTTGCCTGTTTAACCAGTGCAAAATGCAGAGATCAGGAGATCCCTTTGCATCCTGCCACTGTGTAGGTGCTATGCAGCAAAGCTTCCCTGCTGCCCCTGGAGGTGCACCAAGCACCTCTGCCAGCTTGGCTGGTCTCTTCCTTGTCCTCTCCAGTGTGAGTGAGCACAGTTTAGCGAAGCAGCACAACCAAGTTGCTTCTTCTAAATAACTAGGGAATGAACCATGAGTCTGGAGAATCATTTCTGCTTTTTTTAGTACTCACATGTTTTGGAATGCACAAGGTTGATTGTGGTGCCTTTTTGACTTCCATAAGTCACTTGTGCTCCTTCCCAAGGGGCTCCCCCAGGGCAGTGTGCCCCACCTTGGGGACCTGGGAGTCTTGCAGCAAATGTGAGGCAGTAGCACTGGTGAGGTAGGACACTCAAACACACCCAAATGGAGGAGAAGGGGAGGGCACAGCAGCCAAATCATTAAGGGGTGATCCTCAGACTGGTATTTATGGGCTGATGCTTTATGCCTTATGCAGGGGGCCCTCAGCAACGCCCCCACTGCAGAGTTTGTGCCAAGTGCAGTTTGTTGACTGGCTGGTGCTGGAAGCAAGACGTGGCAGCAGGAGAGGCCTTTTCTTGGGCTTCCTTGATGAGTCATTCCATTGGTGCTGGAGCAGCTGGAAGCAAATAGAATGGCCAGCCTGGCTGTTCTGAAAGGGTTTCTCTGGTGCCACCTGGACTTCTCACTTTTAACCTGGTTTTAACACATTGTTTCAATGGTTTCAAAAGTTGCCACTTTTGAAACCATCTACAGGAATTGCCAACCTGTATGCAAATCTGGATATGGGGATTTTTTTATCATTTCTATTACAGAACTTCTAATTAATAAGTGGCATTCTACAGAACACCAAAAATATCTCTAAGAAAAAAAAAGCAGGAAGGGGATTTTATTCACTTTGCATGTGACTATCCATAGGTGATTTTGTCAGTAGGAGAGCAGAACTATTTTTGAAGCACTTGACTCTTGGGCTGCCTGAGGTAGTTGGGAGCCCAGGGGGCAGTACTTCAGGCTGGTTTTGTGGTGCATGTGCCAGTGGGAACACAGCTCTTGGTTGGCCACACAGACTGTAGGACCTGCACATCTCAGTGTCAGTGACTGGGTTCTGATGCCAAGAGCACACATTGTTTGTGGGTTTGCTCTGACTTGGTGGTGTGAGGTTGCTTTGGGTATGGATGGTTCAAGCTTCAATACCTCCAAGCACTGATGGGATTGTGTTTGGACCAAAAGCTCTGTTTCTTAGAAACCAAACCCAACCAAAACCCTAATGTGTGTAAAGGATGTATGCTCAGAGAAATAGATTGTGTGTGTTAATTTGCTTTGTGCTATGACTCTCTTCCAGTTGGTGCACTGCGTGTGGAGTTCTCCCAGCCTGTAAACCTGGAAGAAGTGGCAAGAATAAACCCACAGGTCAGAGCAGGAGGTCGTTTTGCTCCGAAGGACTGTGTAGCACTTCAGAAGGTAGCAATAATCATACCGTTCAGGAACCGAGAGGAGCACCTCAAGTACTGGCTCTATTACCTGCACCCAATTCTCCAGAGGCAGCAACTAGATTATGGAGTATATGTTATCAACCAGGTAAGATGCTAGAGACAAGCTTTCACACAGCTGTCGCAACAGTGCCTGTGACCCTTAAAATAGAGGAATGGCTGCTTTTCTTTGAAAAGCAGTAGGCTGGCAGGCAGGAATAAGGTTGCTTAAAAAAAGAAAAAGAAAAGGAAGAAAAAATTTGCTTCAATGCCTTTGGTGGAAAACCCGAGATCCCCACTTCTGCTCAGGTGCAATTCATTCCTAAGAGTTTCTGCTTAAAGAAACCACTTGGTGAGGAGGAAAGAATTCCTAATAGTATTACTCAATTAATTACCTCTTTCCATATGTTCTTTTTTCCCAACTGCTGCAGGAATGGCATGCAGAGATTTTTAAGGTGACAAGTTGGTATTAATGCCTAGTTTGGTAGTAGATGTGCCATAAGTGTGCAGGATTTCACTTTATCAAACACCTTCTGTTCATGTTAGTGCCCAAAGTCAGGATGGAGAAAACAAAGCTGTGGCAGTGGGGCAGGTAAGTGGCTGTCTTCAGGGAAATAGAAAAGAAACAAGCAATCATGGAGAAGTTATTGGAGTTTTTGGTTTTGGGGCTTTTTCTTCTTGCTATCTGGTGGCCTTCAATCTGCCTTTTAAAAAAAGAAAGGCATAAAAATGCACATTTCACTCAAGACAAGCTGTCTTACTTTATAGCATAATGGTGTTTAGATAAGTGAGTGTTGTTCACCCTTAGAAAGGCTTAAAATGTGCAGGCGTTTGTACAGGCTGCAGGGTGAAAGGGCAGATGCAATTCTGAGAGCCTCAGCAGAGACCACCTTCTGGACAATTCCACTGCAGTTTCTCTCTTGGATATGTATTTTTATCCTGTTTTCTCAGCTCAGTAAGAACTGAGATGAAATAACATGCTTCTTTAAGTGTTAACTCCTTAAATTTCTGCTTGGATCAGCTGGTGTGTTTGGGCATATCAAACACCATGAATATTTAAAATGGTCACCCAGGTGATGAATTTCATCACAGACTTGAAAGTAGGGGGAGACTTATCCCAAGAGAGAAAACTGATACTCCATTACTACAATTTCTCTTGCTTTGCTCATTTCCAGGGTGCCAGAGGTCAGGACAAAAGGGATTTCTGGGGAATCAGTAGTACTTCTGCAGCACAACAGCCAAGAGGGTTCAGTGTCTGCATCTGACTGCGCTTGTGGCCTGGCAGCCACACTGCTGAGGACACAAGGCATCTCTGCAGCATGCAGACAGGCGTGCTGTGCCCTAGAATTGAGCCCTGTAGGGAAACCCATCCTGTGGAAAGCAAGGAGAGCTGGTGCTGCTGTGGTGCAGCAGCACAGGGCCAGCCGCAGCCCTCTGTGCTTCGGGCTGCGTTTCCTTGCCCGTGTGAGTTGCTGGTGCCACGGGGCTGGCTGAGCCACAGACCCTGCTGGCCAGGGGTGCAGGTGGTGCCTCCCTGCTCTGAGCACGGCTCGGAAGCAGGAGGGTAGTGTGGCACCCAGCAGTGGCCCTGCGGTGGGGGCTGCTGCTTTCCCAGGCAGGTGAAGTCAGCACCAGCTGTGAGAGCTGCCTGCACGTGGTCTGGGGCATCGCTTGTGAGAGAGCAACCACCCCCATTGTGTGCAGCTGGGGGTGGTGTTCCAGCGTGAGGAAAGCAGGGCTGGTGCCCCTAAAGGCAGGCAGTGTCTGAAGCCTGGTTGGAGTCCCTGCTGCTGCTGTGATGGTGCATGCTGGCTTGCATTGCCCTGTGTTGCTGGCTACTCCTCTTCTGTGGTCCTGTTCTCCAGCACTAGGGCTGTGTCCTTTACAGTTAACTCTCACAGAAGTTTCTGAAGCAAATGCTTTTCTTGGGTGGGCATAGTTTGAGTGAGAGTGAAATGCAGTACACAGGGTATATATGCCCTGGCCACATCCAGTAGATATAGGTTAGCAAGTAAGACTACTTGATTTGTAAAGTAAACATTCTCCTTCTGCATGCCTCTAATAAGCTGTGTCTAGAAGTGGAGTGGTCAGTGGTAGTAAAACCACTGGATGCATCTCCCAAGGGTGAGTGGGAACACTGAATAGAGAGAGATACAGAAAATGCATTAATTCTTCCAGAAGTACAGTAGGAAAACAGTCTTATTTCTCTGCTGTCTTGACAATTGCTTTTCTCTTTTTCTTGTCTGTCCTTCCCTTTGCATCTGCCCTCCTTTTTTTTTTTATTTTATTTTTCCTTCTAGTGGGGAAATATTACCTTTACTTGTTAATCCTGTCTATATCAAAGCAATCACTGAAGCAAGGAGAATTACTGTGTGATCTGGTTCTTACACGCTGCCTACATGCTCTTCTGTGCTCTGCATCTCATAGAAAGAAAGAGGAGCGCTGAGCCCTGCTACTGCTGCACTGGTAATGTCAAACTTCTTCCTTTCAGCGCAATGTGTTTCTGTCACGAGTCCATTGTGTCTCCTCCGTGCTGTTCTTGCGTGCCTGAATGCCTCTGAGTAGGACTTGGCTGAAGTCAGGGGGATGATGTTTGTAAAATGTCTGGTATGTAACGGGAGCCAGTGGAAAATAATGTATTGTGTTTCACCTCTCACGCTCTACCCCTAGAAAAATCCAAACCCTGTGCATTGGAGGATTTTTCAGGTAAATCTGAAGAGGACATGGCTGGGCATGCTCTGCCCAGGGCCCATCAGTACCCCACAAGTGACAAATTTGCAGTGTCTCCCTCAGCCTTGCTTACTCCCACCCTTATCCGTGTGTCCTCCCACACCTGCGGCCACTGCCAGGCGGATGCTCAGCTCTAGAAACTAATCTTCTCACTGCATTTCAGCCCATGCAAATGCCCATGCAGCCAGACAAAAGTTTAAGAAAGGGAAGACTTAGCCAATTCCCTGGAAACTGGGCAGTTGTTCAACCATTTTCCACTGGCCCCTGGTGCCATTTGCAGTGTCTTGGTAGCAGTTTTCCAGAGAGGTGTGTGCACGTGTGTGTGTGAAGTGGTTGGGGCATCACTCTTACTCGTGTTACTTTGCAGGGGGTATCAGGTTTGTGGGCAAAGGAAGGAATTGTGCTCAGCTGCTGGTTACCCTTGCAGTGGCAGGGGAGGCAGGTTTCAACTGTGGCTGCTCTCTCCCACTGCCCAGTGTAATAGTGCTGAGGTCTCAAAACACCCTGTGACAGAGAAACACCAAAGTATCTCCTGATATGGCTCTGGAAATTTGTTTCTACCTGGTCAAGTCCACTGGAGGAAGGACTTCCCCATGGATATGGCGAGTGTGGTTCAGGCTATCTCAGTGTATTAGCTAGCAAGCTCCCACTGGGGGTGATGGTTCTCCTCGTTGGCCAGAAACATACAACGTAGATCCTCACCATTACCTCCATGAGGTCTGATGAGCGTAGGATTCAGGTGAGAGAGATGCAGCCACATTTCATCTGTGCTGTCTGCAGGAGGAATCACAAAGCTGCCTCCTGCATAGATGTAGGAGGCAGAGCAAAGTCAGGACATGTGGCTTCTTGCTGGTTTGTAACTTCTTTAGTTTGAGTAACGATTCCAAAAACCTCAATTTTTTTCTGTTTAAGCACTGAAAAAAAAAGGAACCCTGCCTCCTTTGGCAGATCTGGGTGAACAAGCCAGATTCAGCTGAGGTAAGGGATGGGAAGTAAAAAAGCCTGGATGTTCTTCTGCTCAGGCTGATCATTCATCTCCGGGTGCAAGAAGGAGTCAGTGTTAGACCTTGCAGGACTGAGGCAGCAATTTGTTCTGGGAGTGACAGAGTTAATTCATGAGCCAGAAGCAGGTGCTGGGCACCAGCACTGAACTCAGACGTGGGTTAAATTTCAGGACAAGAAAACATTGGGACAAAATTGTCAGGAAAAGAAAATAGCAAAAATGTGCTTGGATTACATATTTTCTATCTGAAAGCCTAGGAGAGCATGGAGGCTATGTCTAGAGCTTGACTGCATTGTCTAACTAGCAGTCCTCTGTGTGCTGCCTCGCTCTTCAGGATAATGCTCCTCTGTCCAAGCAAGTCCAAACTAATCCATTTCTTTGTGACAAATAGCAGCATTCATGGGATGACAAGCCACTAGGCAGAGGCGAGGGATGGAGGTTTTTTCAGCAGTGCTTTACCTGCTTTCTCAAGGCTCACCGGCAGGTACTGTGCTCTCTGCTGACCTGGAAGGAAGTTTTCACAGCTCTGGTTTGTTGTTTGGTTGTTTTTCCAAAATGTCACAGATCAGTCAAAGATTGCAGCGTGCATGTGAGTTTTGAGAGATATTTGAATCTCAGATACTGCAAGCACGCCAGTGCTTCCACATTGCCTTAGGTAAAGAAACAGAGCTTCTGCAAAAAGCAAAACCTCTTGTCTTTTTTTGTTCCAATATACTGTGTTAAATCCCCACATACCTTCTGAGACAGAAAAGCAACCTCCTGCCTCAAAGCAGTCACAGTTGGTAATGGTCTTGCAAAGTTTGCTGCATGAGCTACATGTTCACCGTAAAGTTAGTAAAAAATGGCTTGGAGAGAGTTCTTTGTTTTCTGTATAGGCTGTGATTCCCTTCTTGCTAGTCTTTTGAATGCCAGACTGTGAAGCTGCGGGGCCATTTGGGAGGAGAGTGTCGATGCCCACATGAAGTGTTTGCCCTGTGTCCTGTCCCTCTCCGTGCACAGTGTGGGCTCCAGTGTGAGCTCTGCCAGGGTCCCATGGGTGGGGTAGCAGGAAGGGTCCTGCATGCTCTCGGTACAAAACTCTCTGTGCTTTGAGATTTTTTGGGGAGAGGTTTAAAAACACTGCTCCTTGTAGCGCTGTTATCCCCATGTGTCATCCAGAGGAGTTAGAGGCTGCCTGAAGGCACTGGTTAATTACAGCTAAGCCTCTGCTGGTAACAAAATTGGTCCCCTTTGCCTTGAATTTCATTAGGAAAAGAGCAGCCAAAGGGTATGAAATGAGGCCCCAGCAGTTGCTTTGAGGTGTGAGTACATTGCACCTTGCACCAGCACCAGGTCGAGTCCCCCTCAGAACCTTGGAGCCAAGTCTGGGTTTGGTGTCGTGGGACCTGAGGAGTGCTGGGCAGCTTGGGCTGGCAGCAGCCTTTGCTGGGGAAAGAAAATCCTCCAATCTTATGACCTCAGTTGCTTCCTTTCCCCAGCCTCTTTGTTCCACTTGCCTTCATTTTCTGTACTTGAGTTTTCACTGCTCTTGCTTTATGCGTGATGATGATCGTCCACCCACCACCTTATTGTTGTGTGAACCCTTTTGTTTTGGGTGAGGATGCTAAGAATTTGCTCAGATCCTCTTCCATGAAAGCTTACTCCTCCCTGTGAAGTCATTTATGCCCAAGGCAAGGGAGTAATGCTTTTGAAAACTGGTTTGACACTTGTATTTTAAAACCTTAATTTGGAATATACTTGGGGCTGTTTCAAGAACCTGCATTGGCTCTTCAGCAGCAAATCTGTTAATTAGTCTGGATTAAATGGTTACCAAAATGATTGCTTATTAACCAGATAAAGCTGTTACAATGAGTGTGGTGTTTCAAGCTGCTGCTCCTTGGGCACAGTATTTTATCCATCCTTGATTTGCATCCCATGTTGGGTGTGGGTAGTGCAGGGTAGGGGGACAGCTTGCACAGTGGGGGAGTCCTTTGTCTTAACACTGCTCAGAGAGTGTGGAGGACTAAAAACGGAATGGATTTGGCAGTCTTGGTTTCAAGGTTGGCAAAACCCTTCAATCTCTTTGAGCGATGCCCTGTGAGTTTCTTTCTACCTGCTCTGTTGCCTTGTACAGGGTTTGGGTTTGAAGCTGCTGCAGAGTGGGGTCTTCAATTGGAAATCCTTACTCTCAAACCACCAGTATTATTGGGTTTTTGGTATGATCTTTTAGCTAAAAAGCTAAAGTACTCAGTATTTTGTGAGCCTGTACTTGTGCTCAAATCCACATGTGCTTTTGAAATGTTTTTTCCTGAAAAGGGCCAGACAGGTTCTCCTCAGGTGCTTCATTATCTGGGGAGGAAAGTAGAGATTTTCTTGCCCTGTTTTTTGCCCGTCCCTTCATTAGCTGTGCTTGTCCTGAGATAAATATGCCCTGCTGTAGTGTCAACTCTTTTCAAGTCCTTCCCATCATGGCGAGAACCTTCCTGATTGCATTTCCCCCCATCTGTCAAGGCCCCCAGGAGAGATGAACAGTGGTGAAGAGCTCCAAAGAGGGGGATGTGCCACTGCAGCAGTGGCACCATCCACCTCTCCAGCTGCAGCCCTTTTGGGAAGCAGCTCATGCTGGCCTGCCATGCAGTAACCAAGGCTGTGTCACAGCCATGTGCCAAACCTGCTGCCCAGAGCCCAGGGAGCAGCCTGCTCCTCTGCCTTCATGGCTGCTCAGGGCTTGGCAGATGGTCAGAGGTGAGCAGCAAAGCATCAGACCTTGGCTCCTGGTGCCATCTCGTGCTTTGCAAATCAGGTCTGGTGTGTTGCTCAGCAGTGGCTGTGCTACAGTCTCACAGCCATGTTGTGGCAGAGCTGAGGAGGAGGGTGCTGAAATTCTGGCCACAGCAGGGTTTTGGTCCATGGTCCTTGTCATGGCTGTAAGTTAAAGCACTGCCCATGTTTCTCTCTGCAGCAAGAGTCCCTTCTTCCAGAGGACCTCACCTCTTTTTGCTTTTCTCTGCTGCTCCAGGAAACCCCACCTGCTTACCCTGTGTAAGAAAATTCAATCCTTAAATGCCTGTGCATGGAGTGGGACATAGGGACTGCTTACCATTGGATCAAACCTGCCCTCCTGGGGGCTCCCACCAAGAGATGGGAGCTGAGCTGGGTCCAGCCTTTCCTCAGCCATTTTTCCTGCCCCCACGGTTTGCAGCTGACCCGAGTGTCATTGTTCCACAGGCAGCATTTGGGGTCTGCTGCAAACATGCCATGGGTGCTGCAAGAGCAGTGCTTGGGCTTGAGCTCAGTCTGTCATCAGGGCATGTCAGCCCTCTGCAGCAACACTGGCATCTGGCAACAGGTAAGAAACTGCTGATGTCAACTGTCAAATCTAAGTCACTTAACTGTTTTTATTTGTTTTTAAATTAGGATGGAGAAGAAGAATTTAACCGTGCTAAACTGCTGAATATTGGATTTGCAGAGGCCTTAAAGGAGTATGACTATGATTGCTTTGTGTTTAGTGATGTAGACCTCATCCCAATGGATGACAGGAACACCTACAAATGTTACAGCCAGCCACGACACCTCTCTGTATCCATGGATAAATTTGGATTTCGGTGAGACGCCTTTTGGAGTGGCATCTGTTTCCTAATAGCACTGCCAGCCTAGCAGGGCAGGCGCAGTGTTACACATCCCCACCCACCACTGAAAGCATGGGAAAGCATCTCTCCCAAAAGCCTGTCTTAACCTGCAGGGCCCTGCAGGGAGCGGGTGGCTGCAGGGGAGGAGGGCAGAGAAATGCAGCTGAGGACTTTATTAAAATTCACAGCTTCTGGAAGGTGAAACGAAGGGTGAGGAAGAGCTAAGCAGCCTTCGTTTTGCAGATGCCCACATATCCCTTCTTGTGTTTCAGTCTAGGAGCTGGAAGACAGCTAGTGTTTCCACCCAGTCTGAAAAGTGAGACACTCTCACACACTGAGAATTATGTGCAGCTTTAAAAAGACTGCATCAGACACTATTTTAAGAGCAAGACAAAAATTTTTTGGCTGTTTGGTTTTATGCCACTGAGAGACCTGCCCTGGTACATGAGAGCAGCACAGAGTGAAACTTCTTGCAGCATATATTTGGGTTTAGCAAGCTGTTCTGAACAAAAACGTGTCTTGCTTTTCCTTTCAGTTTTGGTTGTTTGTTTTTTTTTCTCTGTCCCAAATCCTCAGGGAGGAGCTTAAAAGCTCATCTATAAAGTGAAGACTGGTCATGACCCTGTGGTGGCCAGTAATGCTAAAGCTATAGCAGTGGTGGTGTTGGCAGGGTCTGTGCATGTCTCCACTCCAGACCCAAGCCCTGCTCCAAGCAGAACTGCCACTGTCACTGCAGCAGCTGCAGCTCTTTCTTGCACAGAGGTGAAGCTTAAAACAGAAATGCGTGGCCCTGGGGATTTCTCTGCTTGTTAAAGCAAAGACAAGTCTGTACTACATCCTGGTGATCCCCGTGTGGACCCTCTCCTTATGCTCTGGGTCTGAATTTCATCTGTCCCCAGTCTCCTGGTGAATTGTCCTGTTTCAGGTGGGAGCTGGTTGGCTTTCTGTGTGCAAGGTCACACTGCCAACTCAGTTTTGGGCTGCAAGCTTCCTTTCGGGGCACTGAGGAGTGTGAAAGTGAGCAGTAGAGCTGCACAAGGAGAAGGCTCTGTGGCATATCCAGTGTCTGTCTGAGCTCTTGCCACTCCTGTGGCATTCATGTCACGTTCAGTGAGGTGATATGCATTTCAGCCTGTCCTTTGAGGACAGTGTACTGCTTAGAAAAAGGCTGCAGCTACTTCCAGTTGCAAAATACTTCTCAGATATATTTGGGACTGAGCCCACCAGTTCCCTCTCCCTCAGCTGAGTCCGGAGTAGCACAACACATGGCTGCTTCCTGTGGCAGGAAGGTGCCTTGCAGTGGGTGTGGGCTGGGTGAAGGGCAGCAGCAAGCCCTTTTCAGGCAGGCAGGCTGCCCCTTGGCTAACACCCTCTTCTCCTCTAATGTGCTCTTTTCTCTGCTTCCAGGTTGCCTTACAATCAGTATTTTGGAGGCGTGTCCGCCCTGAGCAAAGAGCAGTTCACAAAGATCAATGGGTTCCCAAACAATTACTGGGGCTGGGGTGGTGAAGATGATGACATTTATAACAGGTAAATAATTTTTCCTCCTTGGCACCCTGGGGTGCATTCAGGGTGGGGATGAACACAGCCCTGCTGGTCTCACCTGGGTGTGGGAGGACATGGGGTGTCTCCGGGCAGAAGGTGAAGGTGATGTGTGGGCAACCTACTGGCTCAGTGAGAGCATGTTCCTGCTGGCACCCCATTTCTCAGCTCCCAGAGTGCAGTGGGGAGGGGCTCTAGTTGGAAAAGTCACCCCCCTCCCCCTGCCATTGTTCATTCTCCCTATACCCTCACCAATAGCACCCACACCAGTGCACTGGCTGGGGCGGTGTCCTTCTGGTCTCCCAGTACTGGCTCAAAGAAGGGAATTCAGGACATGCAGCTGAAGGTGGATGAGACTTTGATCAACCTTGCCCAATGCAACCCAAGATTTGTTTGGGTCTGCAGCCTTGTAGCAGATCCCTTTGTTCCCAGGAGGGTTCCACTTGTCGGGCTGTCTGTATGATGCTGTGAGCCATGTGAGCTTCACTGGAAGGAGGCTGAGCAAGGCTCAGAAGTGCAGGAGAGGATGAAGGTGTTCTCACAGGGCAGGCTGAGAAGACCAGGGCAAAGGATGAACATGCTACCTTTCAGCTTCACATATCCACAGCATTCACTGAGAGAAATCATCATGAGGGGCTTGTATTTGGAGGCCTTCTTCATGTTTCTCAGTATCAAAACCACTCTGTGATCTTTTCTCTGGGATTTCTGAACTCTTCTAAGCTTCAGAAATGGTGTTTAAAAAAAAAAATTGTATCTTCCTGAGGTTTTGCACTTCTGTTTAAAAAAAGAAGAAAGGGACAGCTTTCCAGTAGGGCATTCAGATCAAGGTGGCAGTTCTTTCTTTTGGGGGCACTCAGGTTTTAAGGAACAGAAGATGCTACAAAGAAGTGAAAAGAGAGAGGTAAACAAGAAATCAAGTATTTTTCATCACTGATATCTATGAAAAAACTCAGCAGGTGCTTTGTAGAGAGCATGCAAACAAAGACAGGCTGCCCCTCACCCAGTAGGTCTCAGCTGGTGCCACTGTGACTCTGACCATGTGTCTCCTTTATGCTGTGTCACCACCATTCACTTTGGTTTCCCCCAACACTGCAGCTTTAACATCACAAGAAATAAGTGCTCCTCTGGCTCCCATCCAGATGGGTTAAAAAACTAGATGACTCCCACTCAAATTCGAGTCTACAGCCTGTGCCAGGGCTAATGTGGGTGTTGGGTGTTGTTTGGAGGAGATGGAGGTGTAAGTGAGGGTGTGGTGAGCTATCTTGGTGTTGGCAGGGGAGGTCTCTGCTCTGTGTGATAGATAGTGTCTGTGTGGAGAGGGACTGGCTTTCCTTCCTTGTGTCGGCAAGCTTGGGAGTGCGTTAGTAACATCCCCCCTCAAAACAACCAAAAAACAGTAGGTAAAACCAGTGGTTGTTTGTGGAAGGTGTAGCAGAGCATCCCGCATCCTTTGAGTGTTTAATGTACTCGCTTTCTGCAGGCTGGTGTTTAAAGGCATGGGGATATCCCGTCCGGATGCGGTCATTGGGAAGTGCAGAATGATCCGGCATTCCCGGGACAGGAAGAATGAACCCAACCCCGAGAGGTGTGTCTCACCCTTCCCCACATCAGGTTTGGGGGTGCCTCCTGCCCTTGCTGCTCCAACTGCTTGGCCTTCTCTTTGCCGGGCACAAAGGTCCAGTGTGGAAAGGCTGCAGCCATCTCCTTGCTGACTGAGCTCTCTGCTCCTGCTCTTCCTCTGCTCCTCTCCAGGCCTCTCCTGGTTTTTTTATTTCTTAAATGCAGAAAATTAGATTCTGAGCAATTGTTTCCAGCTTGTCTTTGGGGTATAAACCTCTGCTCTAGTGCAGAGCTGGAAAAGGACCTGTGTGATTTAAAAGCTTGGCTGCTTCTTCCTAGCTATAATTTGACCCCATAGGAATGCATTGGCCCATTGCTCAGGCTGGCCAAATGTGGGAGTTTATGGCACTGATACTCAGGTTTTTCTTGAAACACCTGCGATGCTGCCTGAGAGGCATGCAAAGATCAGATTGTTTAAACATTTTTCCTTTCTTTCCTTGTTGTCTCCATCCTCTCCCCCACTTTTTTTTCTTCCCTTCCTGCAGGTTTGACCGAATTGCTCACACACGGGAGACAATGAATTCTGATGGCTTAAATACACTATCCTACAAGGTGTTAAGAACTGACAAATACCCTCTCTACACAAAGATCACAGTGGATATAGGCTCCCCCAATAGCTAACATCAGAGACACAACAGAGACTTCCCTATATTGCCCAGGATATCTGGCCTCACTGATGCATTATATGTGCTGGTTTTAAAAGAGTTGCAGTGAACCAAAAAAAAAAAAAAAACGGCCTCTTTTGGCATGCCAAAGTGTCTCCAAATTGGTTGGACAAGTGCTTTTTAAATTTTTTTTTTAAATTTCAAACTTGACTTTACACAACTTTCTAGCTCTCCGTCGTTTTGTAAGTCCAGAAGCTGTACATACGAGTTGTAAATAGTTACTTTGCCATAAAATGTTGAATCTGATCTATTTGCTGCAGTACTCCCCATGTCGAATTAATTGCTGGACTCAAAATTTTCTGATTATGACTGTGATAGATCAACAGTTACTGCCCATGATATTTGGTATTTTGAATGAGGTGTGTGCAGGCATTCTTTTTAATTCATTCCTGGTTTTACTTTATGAAGGACTCTAAAATGCTGCTAAAATTGTCCAAGTTTACGCTTTGCATTAGATTTTTTTAAATGGAGACAGCAAAATACAACTTTTTTCTCAGAGTGACCAAAACATCTCCTCTATGTGCAGAGCAGGTGTTGAACAATCAAGTCTGGATTCAATGAATGTCATTATTTCTTTTAGTTTCAAAGGAGGCTTTGAGTGAGTTGACACAGTTTGCCAGAATTTGTGGATAAGCTCCCTGCACAGTGTGGGAAGCTATACAGATGACCTCTCTAAAATCTGCTGGCTTCAGATAACCTTACTTCTGGATATGATAGAGATTATTTGCTTCAGCACAACACCACCTAGGATTTTTTTGGGGGGTGGAGGAGTTCAGAGAGGTGTTTGCAGTGTTGATTTGTCTTTTGGGTTTTTTTTTTCCATGAAATAAAGATTAATTTCATTGCACAAATAAATTATGGCCTTAACATTTGCTAACATTTGTTAGCGGTGTTGGGAAGTTACCACGCTATTTAAGCGTTGTCTGAAGCTTCCTAAAACCAAAATTTTCTCTTGCAAGGTTGTGCATAAAACTTGAAATCTTTTATTACTTTTGTTGTTGTAACATTTTAATAACTTTTAAAAGCAATTTGTGTATCATAAGCAGTATATTTAATACCAGATTAAAGTAGGGTGCAGCGTAATAGGATGTGATTCAAAGCCTCCTTTATCTTTAGACTAGTAGGCTTTTCATGTGCATCATTATGTATAAGCCATGTATTTTGTTTGCTCTGTGTATTTGTCTATTAAATCTCCTGCGGTGCTGAGATATTCACAGCAGGGCCGACATCCAAATGATTTTTCTTTGCCTAAAGCCTGTTTGCAATGTGTGTCCTCCCTTCTGATTGTCTCAGGCTTGAGGGGCATGCACATTCTGCAGTACCATTTTCTCTCAGTGCACCAGGGCACCACCTGTACAGACCCTGCTTCTCCTTCCCTTGACCGTGTGTGAAAGCCTCAAGCGCTGACACCCAGGGAGCTGGTTTAAGTGATTTAAAGCTCTTGCCAGAACTCAGAACTGAATTCCTTCTGGTGAGCACTTTGCCACCAGCTCTAACCACTGCAATTTGCACTTCCTTGGCCTGTGCTGAAGGTTGTTAAAATCAGGGACACTTCTTGTTGTATTGGGGATCAACTTCAGCACTGCCTTTTTTTTTCTTTTTTTTTTCCCTTTGTTTGGTTTAGTTTGGTTTTTTGTTACATTTTTTGAGACCTGAAGGTTTTGCTGAGCCCTTGCACTGCAGGGGTGGGATCCTGCAGGGGCCAGATAACCGTGCATTTCTTCTTAGGCCAGCAGTGGCTCACAGGACGCAGAGGGACTTTAATTGCTAGATGCCTTTTCAGTCTCACTTTGGAGAAGTCTTCACCTCCTTTGGTTCAATGCTCTTTCTGGCTAGACTTGCTGCCCCAGTCATGGTGGGAGCTATGGCAAGATGGCCTTGCATGGAGCAGGAGCAAAGTGCAAGGAAGGAGGCTTGTGGTTAAGAGCTTATCCCTTGTGCTTAGCATTGAATATTTAAAAAAAACCCCAAACAATACAATAGTCCTTATGGCAGATTAAGCTCCAGGTCTTAAAGATGCAAGAGAGTACAAGAAGATGTGTTTTACAGAAATCAGGTAAAAAGTCTCCCTGTAAAACATTGGTATGGGTGTAGTCTGTAGCAGTAATGGAGACACAGGAGAGAATTGTTTTTAAAATTTTTTTTCAAAGCTGCCTTAGAAAGGAGGGCTGCACTTCCACAGGCAGCAGCAGATAACCAAAAATTTATCAAGGCTTCACTTGAAAATGCCATGTCTTTGCAGAGAGCACCTCAATTTTGTGCTGAGCCTTTTGTAAATCAGAGTTGGGACCTTCAGCTATACTGTCTATCTGCTGTCAGGTGGGTGGGGGAGATGCTGGCAGCATTCCTTGCAGTGAGACTCTTTGATGGTTAAAAAAAAGTTAGTGCAACAACACATTGTTTGCCTGTATGCTGAAATTATTCAATGTCATGGAGGTGGGATGAGTGCTTGTTTCTGGCTGTTGGGATCAAAGGTTTCTGCAACATGTGCCTTGAAAGAGAGAAGAAATGGAAACTGGAAAATCAGGAAACCTGAAAACCCTTTTCAGCAGAGAGATTGTAGTAGTGCAAGAAGCTGCTGCATAGTTTCTCTTCCACTGCTAAAGCCACAAGCCATGTAAAGAACTGAAGCCACTTTTTGTAGCTTATGTTGCCCTTTGGTGCTGACCTGTGATTTCTAGATCTCATTGTCTCTGTGTAAACTCTATATCAGTCAAACTCATTAAATGCTCTTGACTCGACCTGGCCATGAAATTTCTCTCCCAGGGATTTTCAGGGGCCACATCTACAAACACTCATGTTGCACCAAAGCCAATTCCGACTGTGTCCTATGGTGGGTGGTGTTTTTTCCTCTCCCCTACTGGTGAAAACACTCAAAGTGATACGATTGTAACTAATGGTTGAAACCCAGAAAAACAGCTTCAAAGGAAACGCTAATGCTTGGATTCTTTGGGATGACTGACTGCTTGTTAGCATGAGGGAGGTTCCTGATATGCTGCTTTACCCCAGGATGCTACATGTATACTGGACTGCCTTTGAGTTTCCTGTAGATGGTTTTGCTTTTGCATTCTTATCATTTATATATCAAGGGATGTAATCCAATGTGCCTTCTTTACTATTGATGTCAAATAAAAATATTTTCAGTTACAACGTTTGGCAGCATTGCTCTGGGTTACCCCTCTGTCTTGGTGGGTTTCTGGCTCATGGGGTGGACTAGGCTGTGCCTTAATCTCCATGCATTAACTTTCTCCAGCTTTTCCTCCCTCTGGCTACTTCCTGAATTAATTTCTCTGTGCTGCAAATTTTCTGCCCGTTAGAGACACAGACCTAAGAGTCCCCAGATGACACCAGAAAACTGTAAGGTGGTTCCTAAATCTGGGCAGGGGGACAGCATGCAATCCATCCTGAAACCAGGCAGAAGATGCAAACCCTCACTCAGGCTGTGACTGCTTGGGCAAACAGGCCACTGCTTGCTCCTTGAGTGCTTGTGGGTTTGGCTAGAGTGTGGAAATGGAGGAATAATTCCTGGGAAACTGAAGTAAACATTTGCCTGTGTTCCTTGGCAATTTCTCATAAAAACAGTTTCTGTGGAAGAGATCTTTCTGGCCAGACTGTGGCTAAGGCTCGGCATGAGGTCCCCAGTGCTCTCCAGGGAAAGGTGGGCTTGTTTCCAGCTGAGACCAAGTACCAGCCTCTGGGCCCAGGCTGGCACAGGGGGCAGGACATCCCCAAGCTCCTGCAGTTGTTTGCAGGCATGCTCTGAAGACCATATTGACTGAGGGATCTGGAAGAGAGCAGTGCCTGCCTCTGTCTGCTTTGTCCCTTCACAAGTGCCTCTTAGGGCTTTGGGGACAATGAAGGACCATCACTACAAGGAATTTGCCAGCAATCTGGGGTGCTGCAGCAGGTCTGGTGGTTCCTGTTGCATCTTCTGTTGACTCTCAAACCCTGAAATGTTGCAAGGAATCATGGGTGTTACCTTTTTATGCTTCCAAGTTTGGCATCTACAGGCAGAAAAATAGTCTAAGAGCGACCTTCCACTTCCTCCTGCAGATGGGAGGAGTATTCTGTGGGGAGAATTCTTCTGCCCTCAGACTATTGAGCTGTTCCTCCTCTCTACACCCTGAGTGGGTGAGGCTCAGTGGCTGGAAGAAACCGTGTGTGGAAATTTTGTCCCTTGTTGAAAACAGCAGCTGAGAAGTGTCACCAGGTTTTCACACTTCTCCCCACTAGTTACCAAGGCTTCTCTGGACCAGATCAGCTTGTGGCTGGTAAAGGATCCCATGATCTTGCTGTAAGACCATATTTGCTCAGAGAGCTTTCTCCAGAGCTTGCTTTCTCCAGAGCTTGCTTTCTGCTTTAGCAGAGCTTTCTCCACCTCATGCTCCACCTGCCTGCTGAGAGCCAGAATGAGGGAGCAAAGGTTTCTTACATTTATCCCACATGTTTACCCTGCTACACTTTACTGTTCTCCAGCCCACAGGGGGAAAAAAGAGCCAAAAACCCATGACAAAAAAAGAAGCTGTTGTTAAAAGGAAGGAAAGTTCTAAGCTGGAGTTTGCTAAACCTTTTCACCCTCTTGGAAGGAGTCTGAAGTAGGCGTGTTTGTCCTTTGTTCTTGCTTTGTGTGTTAGCACAGCACTGCTGATTGCTGGGTCTGTTCTTATTTGACTACATCCAATGTGCAGGATGTCTACATACTCAGGGACAATGCACTCATATGACACTTAAATTTTCTGTCAACCCAAGGCAGCAACCCCACTCCTGGAGCTTGTTTGCCTTATCCATCCACTGCTCTAAATATAACTACCAGCAAGGAAGATGACTGCACAAAAATCTCTGTAGAGTCAGTGGAGACTTGACTTCCCAAGTCTGCACTAGACCTTGCAATGATGAGCTGAGTGGGGAAAATAAGGGGTTTGAGTTAAATCCAAAGGTTGGACCAGTAGACTTTTTCCTGATTACCTTCCTGCCTCTCACATGCATGAAAATTATTTCCAAGAATTCTTGCTCCATGATTTTTCCAAGGATGGAAATATATATTGCTCATAATAATTTTGTAATTACATTTTGTAATTACTACACAAGGATGGAGGTACTACTGCTGTTTCACGTATCTTTCTCCTTGCCCTCCCTAAAGGTGGGCATCATGTTAGGTTTTTCATTCAGCCTTTTCCCACTTGCCATGATATTCCACCATGGGCTGACAGCAGCTTTATTGACATGAAATGATAACTCATCTGGGTTAGTGTCATCTGTTCTATTCTTTAAGCAGTCCTTAAGCCTCATGTTTGGTCTTCCCACCTACTTCCAAAACCAAGCTGGTGAATGCAGAGATCTGGGACCTGGCTTTGCCTCTGAAGATTGTACAAAAGTCAATGCCCACTGTGTTTTTTTCCATATTGCCCAGTACCACAGTGTTTCCTCCATCTGCCAGTGGCTGTGCATTTCCCCCAATTTCTAGAATACCTGTAGGGTCTTGTTGTACTACCTTTATATGTCCTTTCTAGTCTGATCTGTAGGTGGAACTTGGCCATGCTCAATAACACCTCTAAGTACGCAAGCAAGCAATGTTTACTACATTCTTTTGCTATCATATTTCCCATTCTCACATGCTGCTTTGTTGTTGTTTTTGTTGTTGTTTGTTTGTTTTTATTATTTTGCTAGAAGAAATGCTCTTTTTAGTCAAGCAGGACTTCCAGTGAAATTCCCAATTTTCCTGCAGAAGGGAAGGCTTGGGCTATTAAGGATGAACACTCTGAAAAAACCCTGTCCAAGGAGGTTGATGCAATCCTGGGACAGCATACCAAGGTGACACCTTGGGAGGTTTCAAGGGTTGATCAGTGGTCCCTGGGCTGTACTAAACCAGCCCTCAGGAGCTCCAGGCCGGAGCCAGCAGAGCAGCAGGAGTGCCATCCCTGTGTGCAGGGACACTGCTGCACTAAGGTCATGGACAATGACAACAAGCCTGGGGAAGCCTGCAGAGCACTTCCAAGGAAAGAGCAGGGAGTTGCACAGCTGCCTGTGCTTTCCAAACCTGCTTTACACCATATTTTACTAATCAGAACTTGGCAAGGTGTTTACACTCTGACCATCTGCCATGCTGCAGGAGAGAAAGGGAGGAGCTGTGAAACTTTCTAAGGTTGTGTCCAACTCATCCAGAGCTGGCAAACCTGTTAAGCCCATGTCTGGGAGCATGTGGAGATGCTGCAGACTGTTGGCACGCAAAAAGTC